TGCTAATTGCATACTACAGTTGGATGGCTGATTGAAATATTCCTTTTCATCCTGCTTTACCCTATTTGTATGAGTGTATTATATCATGAAGTAATGAGTTGAAAGCCGATAAAGGCTTCAACTTGTTTCCAAACCTTTTTATTTAAGAGGAATAGGGAAAACTGATGACATTATTCGTACCATTGCTAATACTGGCACTAAAAGTTGATTCTTACAATGCTTTTGAGTAAAAGGTAACTATGATACTACTTTGGGATCTAATAATAATACTAAAATTGAAACCCTAGTTCAAGTGACAATACCTTTAAGTTTATTAACATACATAGGCACTAAAATTTTCTTATTCCTGTTTTTTTTACTTTTTTCACAACATATTTACTGTGTCACATCTTCAAGTATTGCAACCACTACAACTTTTTTGATGATAATAGCACTAAAGTATCACCTGATTAACAATTTTTCTTCCATTTACATTTATCATCATTAGGCTGGCAAAATTAGAGAGGGTTAAATTTTTTTTAATGGAGGTTACAGGAATATTTGTTAAATCTCATAAATAACCAAGTTTCAATTAGTTGATTTTATACATAATCTAAATAGAGATTCTTTCAGAGAAGGATTCAGGTCCAAATTGTTCCTTATAGAGTTAAACCACCACAAAATACTTTCCAGAAGGGATATTGTAACTTTGCCACAAATGAAGGTGTGGTTAATAGAATCCTCTTCTCTGCAGTATAAACAAGTAATGTCCTGTTTGATTCCAAATGGAACAGCTCATTTTTACAAAGATAATTTACGCAGAAATATAACAAGAAATTACCTTACCTTTGTCTCTTTGCTAATTTCAATCACTGATTTAACAAAGGCTTGCCATTGACTGATCTCTATGGCAAAAATACTCTTCCATTTCATTTGCATAGTTGGTGGTGATAAGGTGTTCTGTTTGTCTAAAATTCAGTAGAAGTCCTTTACTTTAGGTTTCTCTACATTTATCTGCTGACCATGTAACTGTAGAAATATTAGGGAACTCTCTCTGTAAATATTTTACCAAAAGTCATACAAACTTCTTGCTTCTCAGTAGAATTAGTCATACATTGCACTCAAAGCCTGATCAAAGTTTAAGAAGTTGGTTTTGCAGCTACATTTTCTTTAGAAGACTTCATTATTAAGAAAACATCCATTTAAAGAGGTCTGTTATTGAGGTAGTTCCTTTAAAAAAAATAATTACCCATCAAAAAAAAAAGGTTTTAAATAAATTCACATTTTTTTGTCGATGAACAGTGTCATCTTCTGTTCATCTACACCTTCTAATTGGGATTTAATTTGGGTGAAGAAAGACAGTACATCCTGAGAGAAAATTGGTTATTTTGAATCTAAATGTCCTTGAGCTGTAGTTACATCATAGAAGGAAGTTCAGGCCTCAATATTTGGAAAAAAAAATTGTCAGGTATTAATGTTCAGTGGAGGTAGTGAAATTAGTTTGGCTTAAAAACCACATTGTGGAACTTACCCTCACAAATACTGGCAATGCTTTCCACAATTTATCAGCTGGAGCAAGAAAGGATTTTCTACTTTCTGTTTCCTTGTTGAATTTAGAGTGCCAACACATAACTTCTGTGTGTCTTGTAAACTGTTAGGAAGTGTTGAAGTCTGTTTCATCAGATGGGTAAATGAGACATTAAGTTAAAGTGTATTTAGTTCAATTTCTTAAAGAGCTTAGCAGTTCTCTTTTTCCTTGTTTGAACTTCCAGATTTACCATCACTCACCTTTTCTGTAAGCCTATCATCATCAAAAGTTATTTCTGAAGGTTGCACCCAAAACTTACACTTTCCATACTTAGCTTAAAAGTTGCATTATGGAAAAGCACTCTTTCATTTGGAGGTAATTTATGTCAGACTTACTGGTGGGCACCCATACATTGGGAAAGTTTCCTGTTTATATTTTCAATATGCTTACTTAAAAGACGGTCCCAATCTTAAGACTCCCAGAAACTTGTGGTTGGAAGTTTCATCCAGGACTTAACATAGAATGCCATTCGCTGAACTATTTTGGGTAGATAATTGATTATTCATTTTCAGATTAATGGCCTATTCAAAAGTATTTTGGAATTGTGAGTTGACGTGGAAGTTGTCCTGTATATATGTGATCAAAGTTGTTTTCAATCTTCAAGCTTGTTTCATGTGTACAGTGCTAGTGAGGTGGTCAGTATAGTACTCATCTTATAGCATCAGAAGTTATTAGGGTATCTCTCATCAATTTTTAGACTAAGGTCAAGCCTTCCATTAGTCAGACACCACCAAGAGCCTTCACAGGGCATTTAAACCTCTTAAGTCTAGGTTTTTTTAAGACTGACTGACTCCTTGCAGAATACTGAGAGATTATGCTGCATTTTCAATTACTGTGATTTCCCAGTTTTTATTTAGTTACACCTAGGTTGACACTTTTGTTGCTATGTAGGAATTATGTAAAGATTATTTTTTTTAATATGACTAAACCCAAAAATGCATTCATGGATATTGGGGTGTAACAGTTGTAATTCTCTCTCTCTCAAAAAAATTAATTTGGAATTTTTTCCTCATTCCACTGAAGTCAAAATTAATTTCTAATAACAATTTTATTTTATTTGAATTTAAAGCAATAGTGAATGGGATATTTACATAACCCAAAATACTTGTTGTTGTTAATAATTATATCAATGCAGACAAGTTTCTTGATGAGTAGTTAGTGTAAATAAGTACAAAAATAGCTTATGTTCCGCTTACAAACATGTGTCTGAGGCACACCTATATCCTGTTGAGTAAGCTATTGTTGCTATTGTGTTGTTATCAGTATTGTTCTTTTGTGAGGTAAAAGTATAGTTTAGGAAGCAAAACAACTCATTGAATCGATCATTAAGCAACATTTTGCATGAGAATCAGTTAGGTCCCTAAAAAACCGCCTTAATGAATAGTGAAACGCGGGAATTTTCCCGTCCTTTGTTTCTGCTTGGCATATGTAATAAATTCAGGTGTGACAGAACTGAAGTGAGACTTTTGAGTTGTTTAGTAGCATTAACAAGTCAAGCATTATTACACCTTATTTGGTTACAGTCTCGTACGTTTCGTTAAAAACCACAATATCTGTTTGTTTTCTGAACCCCACTTCCTGTAATCCGTTTTCGCTCGTACACCGCAGCTCACTTGCAATCAAGTGACCCCATGAACTGAGCACATGTTTACCAGACCTTATATGGGGCTCCGCTTCACCTTGGGCCTAATAAGGATATGCTGTGATTCCTGCTTGTTAACCTCCGCCCATAATCACGAGACGTGGCAACGACTTCCTGACTAAAAGAGCGAAAACCTGATACGTGACGCACTCTTCTTACGCACAAGGGTATTAGGACAATTAACTTTTAAGCCGCTTCAGAGGGTCCTCATTGTTTTGCAAGCTGGAGTTTACCAAGTATGCAAAATCAATTAAAGCTGGATCAACAGTTCTTTTTAATTTTGCGGGAGAATTGAGCTCGTAATCGTTTTCAGGGTTACGTTTTTCTGCTAATGAAATCATATGGGTCGTGATGACGTCCTTCGTTTAGTTTTAGGTCTCAAAGTGAACTTCAGAAAGCTGATTACGTTAATTAAATATTGATTGATGTTTGTGTCAGCCTCTGAAAAACAGTGTCATGTCAAATGAAAACGACAATAGGATACGCTGGATCAAGGGCTGCGTATTTTATCGCTATCAGGTTTTAAAAAGACTGCATTCAGGAAATGTTACTTTTGACATAGGATAGATTAGGCTTAAAATGACAACAAGTGTTTTCTAAATAGGCCTGGCATAATCATTTAAAAAAACAACGCCATAGTCAAGTCCTTTAAGATTGAAGAACTTGTACATGATGTGTACTACAAATACGTCATTTCCGATTAAAATTAAGTCTATTTTTTCCTCTATTACACGTTTCTTTCTTTAAAGTTGCCCTGTGTTTCTGTGATGAGTAGTTTTATATTTTTGTTTACATGTGAATATTGTCACACCAACTTTCTTTGTTAAGTTGCAGGTACTTCGTGACTCATAATTTACTGAGTGAGAAAAATGTAATCCCAAGTTTTTATACTTCGGATCATGCCGATAAGTGATAGCAAAATTTATACTTTGAAACTGCAACCACAATATGACTCACTGTCGACCGCACGGCGCCAAGCTGTGTGTATCTGTCCATCAAATAACAGAGAAAAATTTGCACACCTTGTTTTGGGAAGTTGTGGTCGAAACAAATTCCAAACGATCTTAGCTATCGATTGTTTTCGAACGTCCGATCGCTTTCTGTTTGTGTGCATAATAGTATTGTCGCGCGCATCATAATTAACGCTTAACTTACATCGATGTTTCATTAACTGATTCGTGTGGGAGAGTTATGATTTAGCCGAACCACCAAACAAAGCATTCTTTCAGTTTCGCGCCACCGTGAAAAATTCTGTCGATTATTTGTGATTACTCAGTAATTGATTGTGGAGTAGTCTTGTAGCGTAATACGGAAGTCGGCGTGGGAATGATCCGACTTTCGGAAAGATTTTTTCAGGTTTCATGTCTCGGTTTACATAGAAATGACAAAATCCTATAGGGCCTAAATAAACCCGATTGATGTTTGAATTCTCCGTAAAGTGGCGCCGTGAAACCTCAGTTCTCCAATGGTCAACACTTGACAGCTTTTGTTGTCTTTTGTCATCTGCACTCGTGCTGATTGGCTGAACCATACGTGATGGACAAACCGAATGTGTTTTTGACACGCATGACACGAAGTAAACAGTGTGCGTAGATTGAGAAAAAAAATCTATCATGTCTTCAGATGGGCCTCAGTGAACGGGGTAAAGCTGAGGGCAACATGGTTAGCGGCGAGACTACATCTCTAGTCGACTTCGTAAAAATGACTAACCCTGGTCTATTTGATTTCCAGGACGAGATACACTCGTTCATCGAGGCCTTGCTCCCTCACGTCAAGGCCTTCGCCTATACGTGGTTTAATTTGCAAGCAAGAAAGCGAAAGCATTATAAGAAGCATGAAGTACGAATGACTCCTGATGAGGAGAGAAGGTGCAAAGAAGAGCTAGATGCTGAAGCCCCTGAAGTGAAACAGAAGTGGGCCTCGAGGCTCTTGGCAAAGCTTCGAAAAGACATTCGGCAAGAATGCAGAGAGGACTTCGTGATGTCGGTCGTTGGAAACAAACCCGGCTCTTCGTGCCGTTGCGTAATTTCCAACCCCGATCAGAAGGGGAAAATGAGGCGTATCGACTGCCTTCGCCAAGCCGACAAAGTGTGGAGACTAGATTTGGTTATGGTTATCTTGTTCCGTGGCATTCCGTTGGAAAGCACGGATGGCGAACGCCTGGGCAAGTCGCAGCACTGCCAGAATCACACTCTGTGTGTCTTGCCCAACCATATCACAGTGACAGTTCGAGAACTGGATCTATTTCTTGCCAACTTTATGTGCAACCGAGGTAAGATTTTCCACCTGTATTGTCGATGACTATCAGTCACAGAACACATCTGATCAGATGTTTAAATGCCAGCACATCTGAGTTATATAGTTAAATTTTCTGCTTCTCGGGTACCGTCTCTCCTATCAACAAGTTGGAGGTGCTATGTTTCTCTTTAATAATTAAAACAGAAAACTGTTTAAGTTCTTTGGGTGTGTAATTTAATCGTTTTATTACCCAAAAGAATTGAAATTGTTATGTTTGTGTAGTTTGTTTTCTTGTGTTCCATCGACCGCAATTAGTTCCCTATTTTACTCGCAGAGCACAAACAGGATTCCAACAGTCCCGTACGAAGTTCTGGCGATCCAGATTCTCATCAAAGTAAGTATAAATTTTTAATATCTTCTTTGTAGGACCTGTTCGTAAATGTATTCAAAGTGAAAAATACAGAATTACAAGTAAGTTGCGAATTTAGGCCGTGGCAAGGAGTAAAATGGACTATTTTTTCATGGACAAACGCAGTGTTGTTGTTTTGTTGTGACCCGACACGTGCGCGCATTTGGACAATCCAAATTAATTCGCTCAGAAGGCTTTTGTTTTTGTTCTCGTTGCGTTATCCCCCAGTAGAAACCACGTTTCATTGTTGTTAAAGGTAAAACTAAGAGCCCCATTTGCATGCCTTGTGTATCGCAAAAATTAGCCCCTCCGGGCTACACGTGCTATTTCAGGAAATCGCTGCTATTTTGTTCGCAAGATTCTATTATCCCTAGAATTGTGAACGACTTCCTCTAAGTGTTGCATAAATTCCATTGCGTATTGAATGTAAGTAAGGTAATACATGATTACAAAAAAGTGCCGTTTAGTAAACATTTAGATTCATTGTTGTTTGGCCCAGAAGCTTTTTACCAAAGTACACGAAGTTCTTGTGAGCCCATTGGAAAGGAGACAAGTTTCATATTTCCCCTTGAGCTTTACGCGAGTCGATCCAAGAATGAAACTCGAGTAACAACGATGTGCAAACAACATCTACGTATTCGTCTTCGTGTTTGTAAAAGAATTGTGTTACGCGGAAGACAATTACTTTTGCCGTAACTGTTTCTGCCTGAAAAACGAGAATTCGCAAACAACCATCATGGGCACGGGGTCTTAATTGTTGCTTTAATTCCTTCCCTTACGAGTCGTAGGTTTAC